TATACCACACCCAGCAGATAAATTCTAAGCAACTTTAAAGTTTCTCTTTTCACCACTGTGACCTGGTGAAAGAGACAGAACATCCCTTAATCTAGGGCCATCAATTTCTAGCCCCTAGTTCAGAGTCTCTCCCTCTCCCTATCTAAGATCCCAAAGATGCCTATGTAGATTCTAGGAGAGAGTTTTACTAAATTTGTAATTCCTAACCAACGCTGGCTATATGCCTTTCAAGTTACTATCACTGCATTTGAATCTTTGAAAGGAAAAATACACAATAAAATAACTTACTAGCCATGCATTTATTCATTTAAGCTTTTATTGAGACGCTTAACCCAAATCTGCAACTAAGGTGTGTGGTAGGGCACACCTTACAGGGGATGAGTTTTAAAGGATGGGTAACTGCTATCTGGGTAGAGGTGGCATTCATTCCAAGGAGAGCAAACAGGTGAACCAAGTATTTGCATGTGTGAGTGTCAGGTGGTAGGGGAGGAAATGGTAGGCAGAAACCAGTCAGCACCAAGTAGCTTTAATTTATGCTGAGGGCAACAGGATAACTTTAGGAAATTGTAAGGTAGGTTAAGAGTGATAATGATGAAGACAGTAAGCTGTTTTTAATTATTACCACTTGGACACAATTAAGAATGCGCTGCAGTGGCTTTGATGAAATGTAGTATGAACCTGAATAAAAACAGTAACAGAGGGATGAAATTGAAGGGAGAGATTTGAGAAATATTAAAGAGAGAGATCAGCAGGACTTTGCCCAGTTTTGTTAGTAAGGGTAAAGACAGTCAAGCATGCAGCATATTTCTTGCTTGGATAACTCAGTGCTGGCATCCCATTTGATCATTCATAAATACGCTGCATTTCAGGTGGCTTCAGGACATCCAAGTGGACATCCAGTATGATTCTGCAGCTGAGAAGAAAAGTGTAAGCCAAAAATAAATATCTGAGAGGCCTCAACATAGGTAGCTGAAGTCTCATAGTAGATGAGTTCACATAGGAAAAAAAAAAAAAAATCTAAATACATGTGTTAGAAATTTCTTCTTGGTGTATAAGTTTGCTCAATAGAGTATATATTTCATATTTATCTTATTTACCACTCTACCCCCAGTGGCTAGCAAAGTGCCTGATATGTACTTACTGTTTGAATAACTAAATAATTATTTGTGCAAATGTGTTTATTTCCTTTGGTTTGCTGGCTATTAAAATTATCTCACAGACGTGTAAGCCATGGCTAATGCGGATTTAGTTCATCTAGTTATTAAGTGATTATTTAAAGATAAAACTCCTTTGTGTTTGAAGATTTTAACTCATTTAAAAATTTTATCTATCAAATGTCCTTGGTCTACTGAAGGGAGGTGGTATTAGTAGCTGAAAAGAGTCTAGTTAAAAGATGTGGTTTTTATTATGCTTTTTTTTTTTTTTTGCATCTCCTGCCAGGACTCTGGCACTCTGCCCCACCACCTCTACCTCCTATTTCCTTTTGATGAGCTCACCTTTTGGGCCCTTGTTTCTACATTTAAAGGGCAGTCCAGCAGTGCTGGCATCAAAATTTCTGAGAGAATGGGGGAGAACCAACCTATCTGGTTTGAGGGTGAAGAAAGAGTTGAAATGCACTTGCATAGTCACCTGAAAGAAGACTGAAGTAATTTCATGTATCCATATCAAAACAGAGATAGCTATTAATGATCCCTGCCTCCTGCCCATATGTAGACCTCTGTACCACTACTCAAGGGCTACTATCTGAGATGACATATGATTTGTAGCTTTAGGAATTTCACAAAACACAAGTTTCTTCAGCATTTCATTCGCTCCAATATCCTGATACATATCTGCTATTATATCACCCTATGTCATTCCTCATTGCACTTAACAGCATTTTTTTTCATATATTTCTTAACTTGATTGCTCTTTCTTCACTTGACCAGACAGTCCAGAAGGGCAGGTTCGATGTCTGGTTTTGCACACAAATAATAAAGCCTCATTTATGTATTTCGCACTTGAATAGTAAGAACAAAATCTTTGTATTTTCTTATGCATCTCCATAAAAACTGGTGTTTACTTATTCTTTACTTAACTCAATCTTTATAGCAACATAAAATTGTAGACTTTGTACAAAGTAAATAAGATATCCTTTATATATGCCTAAGTCAAGATCTAAAATATTATGGGGTACTACAATGCCACTTAACATTTCTCACTTTCTGCCTTTCCCATTTGATTTTATACCCACCCCAAATCACAGAACAACTGTATCTATCCTACATTATATATGAGAAAACTTTCGTATTTATATTGAGGCCCATAGGAAAAAACTATCCCACTTGCAAAGCATTCCCTTATTTGTACAAATATATACCTGTATTTATTTGTATATAAATATTTCTAACAAGGGAATGCTTTGCAAGTGGGATAATTTTTACCTATAAGCTTCAATATAAATACAAACAAACAATATCGAAATCAAAGGAACTGAGAGTACATAAAGATTAGTGCTACCAGAATCCTCAGATCTCCTCAGATACACAGTGGGGTACCTGACTCCATCATTTACTCTACTTTCTGTGTTCTCTGTTGATGATGAAGTCCACATTTGGGACTTACCATTGTATTTAAATCACATTTCTAACATGTTCATTCTCTCTCAGTAAAGGGGCTTGATGGCCACCAAAGGATCTTTCAGGCCCGGATGACATGTGCAGTTAAACTGTCATTTAATTTACCCCTTTAGGCTTTAAATTGCTGTTGAGAACATTAAAAAAAAAAAAAAAAAAAAAAAAAAAACCCCAAAAAAACCCTTTGCTTATATTATATGCTAATTGTTTATACTTCTATAATTTTTTGTTTTCCTTTTTTAAAAAAAGTTACATTTAAATTGAGATTTCATTATGACCCAAAGAAAATTTTCTTCCAAAGGATATATATAAAATTTGTAGCATATAGATAGAAATTAGAGAGTCTGTGCTTTCTTCTCATCATCCAGAGTTGGCAGTTTTTGCTGGATGAATCAAAAAATTAAGAACGACGTACAAATGTTCAAAGAAGCAAAACAAAACACACTGTGGACTAGGTCCGGGTTCCATGCTAGCTGCAATGGGAAACAGGGAAGTAGAAGATAAAGTCCCCATGCTAGAGTAGCCAATTGGTTCTTCCTTCAAAGTATGTCCATAATACAACCACACTTCACCACCTCCATTTCATATCTTATAACCTTGGTTGAAGGCCCTATAATCTTTTAGCTTTCCTACAGTAATAGTCTTCTAACTGATTTGCTGTTCCTTGAACTGGCCAAGTGTATTTCCATCTCAAGGTCTCTGTACTTGATTTTCCCTTTACACAGACTGCTCTTCCCATATATCCACAGATTCCTTCAGTCCCTTCAGGTTTCTGTTCAAATGTCATCACATCAAAGAGGCTGACACACTATAAAGTAACCCCATGTCTCCTCTCTACAATCGTGCTTTGTTCCTTTTCATACCACTTATCACTAACATGGCATATTTTTTTTATTAGTTTTCCTATTAGAATTATACTTCTTAATATAATTAAGAGCAGAGATGTTTTTACCATTTTGTGCCCTACTGTATCCTGTGTGCCCCAGCACAGTGCCTGACACACAGAAAGTATTCAATAAATGTCTGTTCGATGATAAGTTAATCATTAACTATTCAAGTTAAATAACAATACAGGGCAAGAGCAAACTAATAATACAAGATAGTTCATAGTTAATTGCTAATTGAATAGCATGTGCCAGTAATATCTCAAAGAAGTATACATCAGCATCACTTGGGAAGCTTTTCTAAAATACACATGCCCAGACCTTATCACAAGACCCACTGTATCTCCCCAGGCAGGGTCCTGAGCATGTGTATGCTTAGATAGCTGCCCAAATGATTCTATTTTTTATTGTGGTAAAATAAATGTAACATAAAATTTGCCATTTCAATCACTGCCAGATTATTCTATATAGCATCCATTTAAAACTACTAGTATAACACTATGTCAGTTCAGCAGAGCAAGAATGGCCGAAAGCTTACCGGGAAAAAAAAAAAAAAAGGTATCATGGTTTTGGAGTTGAATATAGGTCCACCACTCAATAGCTATGAGACTAGACAAGTTACTTAACTGTTAGTTTCCACATTCATAAAACAAAGATAATCTCTATACTTTTTCTCTTCCGCTACATCCACTCCAAACTGCTCACAGGACACTGTAAAGCTAAGATGAAAACAAGTATGTATCTATTTTGGTGCACATACTAGGCATTAAACCAGAACTTACTGGAATTATTTTCACTGAAATAAAAAATGAAATCATGCTGGCAGAAACACAAAAAGTATGTGTAATCTTGGCATAAGTGGACAATAAAATATATCTCTTCCTCTTCCAATGGGACAGTTGAGAATAAAATTTTGCTAGGAGTTCCACAGGTATGATACTATTAGAACAGTGATTCTCAAACTTGAGCATGCTTCAAAGTCACCTAAAGGGCTTGTTAAAACACACATTGCTGGACCCACTCTCAGAGTCTCCAATTCATTCAGTCTAGAGTAGGACCTGATAATCTGCATTTCTAACAAGTTCCTAGAACTTGTGATGACACTGGTGCCACTAGTCTAGGAATCACACTTTGAGAACAAGGGAATTAGAGTCTGCATATCCTAAAAGAATCTCTGAGATTAATTCCCTGAGTATTTTTTTTAAAAAAACCTGAAATAGTTCACTTAAAAAAAAACATAACTGACAATATGCTTATGATTTTTAGAACATTTTACAATGTGATAAAAGTCAACTATGGAGATTCAAATAACACAAGCAGAATTTCATGCCACTGGCATCCCAATTACAAATATTCTGAAAACGAATTCAAAGTTAACATAATTCTTAGAATACTCATTTCTTAAAAGTTACAAAACAGATAAAAACAAAACACGGCAATTTTAACAGAACAAATGTACATATAACCTTTGACAGGTATAATAACCTAAAAGAATACTTACATGTATGGAGGCATTCCGTCACTGTGGTTGGCTTGATCAGATACCCTTTACAGATATAGCAGGTAATGTAAGGATTAAAATCTTTCACCAAGTGTTTCCTTTGGGTAGCCATTCGTGGCTAGCTAAGACTGGCTTTAGTAGTTCGGGCAAAGAGGGGTCCTAAGTAGATGAAAGTCTGATCCCAGGAGCTGGTGTGGCGTTCCCAGTAGGACGTCCTGAGGCATGAGAACTAGCATCCAGATTTATCATGAGATCGTTGACCATCACTCCTTTTGGTGGTTCCGCTTTCCCATGTCTGTTTCCAAAATCATTTTAAAAAGATGAGAGAAAGAGGCATCAAATTCCTCATAATGTATTTAATGTCATTCTATTAACAGCAAATGTTCCATGTTCCCAATTGCGTGAATAGGTGAATAGAATATATCCTTCGCCTTGTACCATTAACTTGCAAATCTCCTATAATTTAATTCGGAATGACAGATTCATCCAGTCCTGGAACTTCAACTATCACCTCTATACTAAAGACACCCAAAGCTAGTAACGCCAGTTTGACATCTTTACCTCTTCACTAATGCATTTTAACTATCTGCTTGACTGCTCTATTAGGAGTTCCTGCCAATACAAGTTAGAAGATTAAAAACAAGTCATTATCCTATCAAAATGTTCCCCATTTCCATTTTGAACCCTACACCAGTTACGAGTCAAATCAAGTTGATGTTCTCTGCCATTCCATGCTCGGCTGCTCTACTTGTCTATCACCTATACACCTGCAGTCCGTCGTATATTCTGCTTCCAGGCACATTTTATTCTGTGGCACTTGGGTCTTCTTATCAATGAATGTCTTCTCTTTACAAAAAGAAAAAATGTTTCTCATTCTGTCACGTAAGATCTTCTTCAGGTTAACCTTAATATACCCTTCAACAACTTTCTTCAACCTGAAGGGATCACTCCTCTCCCACCGTCCCCTCTGCAAGTTCTAAGCACTCTATCAACAAGCTCTTTCTCTCCTCTGTCTGCAGTCTACCTATCCCCCAAACCCATCTTCAATGCTATCCTCAGGGCAATCTTTCCCTATTTTTAATGCTTACTTCTTTCCTGTTACATTTTCCTTTTATGTTGATTTATAGTTACATTCATTCTTTATCTTCTTTATTAGACCAAAAACTCTCCAAAAGAAACTGGTCACATTTAGATTTATAACATGGGTAACGTTACTTTCCTGTCTCAGGTTTTTTAACTTTAAAATACGTATCCTTTCAGAAAACACAACATGAAAGGTGTTTATTTTCCTAAGTGCATTCTATAAACAGAAACTTTCTCCTATCTTAGCTGTTAACTCATTGGTAAGTATAAAGCAACCGGAAAGGTAAAAGGCATTCCATCAACACATACCCACTGCCAATGTGTAGGGAATAGGCTCTGCGTGTAATTATCCTATCCTCTTGGGAAATCGTATTCGTGGGTGTTAACAGAAAGCAGGCATAATTAACAGACAGAGGATCAGGGTTCTGGCCCTTAGTCCTGTATGACCTTCAGCAAAGAGTTTCTTATCTGTGCCCAGGTCTCAGCTTTCTCCTCCAAAAATTGGGATTAACTGCCTTGCCTTTCCCACAGGTTTGCCATGAACCTCCAAAGTTAAGAGAAAGTCCTTTGGAAGAGGAAATGCACGGTCCCGACCTGAGGTGGTGCTAAGATCCTAAGGCACAGAGCCCTGTGACCAAGACAGTTAAGGGAAGCAAGAACTTGCAATGACCGGGCGGGGGCGAGGGGGAACTTTTCTGCGTTCTCCGACAGGACCCAGCGGCACAGCCCAGTGCGGTCCCAGGACCGCCGCGCCTGCCCGGCAGGTGCGCGGGCCCAGGCCCTGCGGGCGCGCTACTCAGGCCAGGGAGAACGAGCCGCCTTTCCCGGTCGGAAAGCCTGCCCCTCTCCCCGCCGACCGAGGAACGGCTCCGAAGTCCCCGCCCCGGCCGGTCGCCCCCTGCACCCGAAGGGTCTTCCAGGCTCCAGGCGGGGCTGGCCGGGGCAGGTGTCTGGAAGTGTCGCTCCCGCCTGACGCGCAAACTTGGGCGGGAAGCCTGGCGTCCCGACCGCTCCCTCGCCCGCCTAGTACCTACCCAGCGGCCGCCACTGCCGCCGCTCCTCGCCCGCCAGCGCGCCGGCCTCAGAGTGAAGGAAAGTGAAAGAGAAACAGCACCCGCCACGGCCTGGCCGGTCCCCGCACCCCGTCCGCTCTCCCCCTGCAGGCGGGAGCGCGCCGGCTCCGTGGGGCCACTCGGCTCAGGCCCGATAGGGCGCGGCGGGCCTCCGGGCCCAGGTCCGGTGCCGCCTCCAAGAGCAACTCCACCCCCTTCCAACCGGCGGCATCGCCCGCCCCGTCGCCCGGCCACGCCCCCACCGCCCGGCCACGCCCACCACCACGCCCGGAGGTCGCGCCCGCTGCCTGCGCTCCTCGCAGGTGCAGCTGCCGCTCTGGCTCCTGTGCTACACGTAGCTCTGGCCAAATATTATCTCGGTTCTTCTTATCCTCACCACCCACCCCTTCGGTTGTTTTCATCATAACAATGACTGGCATATTTTTCCTGGCGGGTTTAAAAGCAACGGTCAGCGATGAGACTGACTCACCCTGAGAATTTGTCTCCTCAGCTGGGTCTTCCTCAAGTCTGTCCCGCCTGCGCGGAAGTGGGACAAAGCCATCCCTTGATTTGCACCTTATTTGAAAATCACTAACAAACTTGTTACTGTAGCCGTGGGTCCAGAGATCATGGTCGTTGACAACTATAAGCAAACGGGAACGTTGTGGAGAGTGAGGGTGGGGGGAGGGTGAGTGGCAAAGAAGCATTACTGTTTGCAAGGTTCAAAACAAACAAAAAACCCAATACTCTTTCTAGTGGACTTTGAGATCTACAAGAGATCATTCATTGCAAAATCCATTCAAAAACGTGCATTTTAAAAGCCAGAGCAGTGACGACTTAAAAAAATGACAATAATAGAGGGTAGGGGAGACTGTCAATGCAAAGCATTTGCTTTTTCTCCAACTGATAGGCATTAGCTTCTTACTAAAGTGATAGATGACTAAGTGGAAAACCAACAAACTTAACCACTGTTCCTGCAGCCATACAGGTGTTCAAAGATTCATTTCAAATTTAAAATGCATCAAGCAGTAGACCAAGGCAGCTTTAAAAACTACCCATTTTGTAGTCAAATTCTGACATAAGTTTAAAAATTGCCATTTCTAACATCACAGTAGGAGCAATACACTTTCTGAAACAGCTTTAAATGACCACATTCTTATAGTCCTTTAAAGAACCATTTTGCAAAATCATACATGCCAATGTCCAAGCTGGGATTAACTTCATCAGTGACAGCAATCACAATGAGTAAGAGAAAACAAGTGATGTCAAACGACTTCATGGCAGTAGGATTACTCTTTACCCTTCATATCTTTCATTTCAAAAACTAAACAGAACAATACGTGAAAAATCACACTATTTCTAGTGTGTTTAAAATATGCGATAGAAGATATTACTGTATACATACCACAACATATACAAATGACTTGGTATTTTCCTATTTTGTGTCCGAAACTATTTTAAATGTGTTTTAAAAGAGTAACAATGACGTCCAGGGGGCTTAAATGTGATTGGTGACCAATCATAAGTGGGATTAATCAGTATTTCTGAAGGAAACAAGCTTGAAGGCAGATTTGAGAAGGACATATGTTAGCAATGAAGGAAGGGGTCACAAACATGCTATAGAACAGTACCTGAGGATGAATGTGGAGGTGGGGTTGCCAGAATGGACTTGGAATGGGAGAGAACTACAACCTTTGTAAGGAAATCTATGCTTTTTGTCTGGAGAGGCAGCATAGTTTGCAATAAAATGTTCTGTGGTTTCTCCTCTGCCCTCTTCAGCAACCATCCCATCTCTCCCACCCCAATTTAAAAGAATGCACACATACACAAAATATAAACAAGTCAAAAAACTCAAACATTTGTCTGGTTAAAAAAAATAATAGTAATGATAAGGAATGCTGCAAAAGGGCAACTTTACCGTGTGATGTGTATGTAGATTGTTAAGTATTTAAACATGGGACTTTCAGCTGCCGTGCTGCGTCTCCTTCTCCCCTGGGCTCCTTACCAGTTGCTTATTCTAGTCTAGTCCCTTGGTACTGCCAGTGGGGGCAGAGGACAAACCATGGAAGCTACAACATGAGGGGGCAGCTCTGAGCAAATCTCTAGTACCAGTGGAACCCTCAAGTAAACAAAGGCCTGGAAGCAACTGGATATATAATACCAGGGAAATAAAGGCAGGATAAAAGAATCATAGCTGGGAGTCCCCTTAACAATAGTCTACTTCAGTTTTCTCATTTTACAGATGTAGAAATCAAGATCCTGAGATGTAGCAAATTCCTAATTACAGAGCTGATTTTGGTAGGGCCAAGACCAAAACAAAGGTGCCAGGTTCAGTTTTCTTTAATACCTCTTGAGAGTACTTCTCACGTCCAAGAATTTAAGGGAGGTCTGGTAAGAAACGGATTAACTTTTTTTAAAGAAGAAAGAAAGGGAAGAATAGATGAAGAAAGGGAAAAAATAACTGTCTAGATGGCACGTAGGAGTGAAATGGCCACTGGTGATTCCCTATCAAAGAAGCATAATCCCAAAGTGATAAACTGTGGCATTTGAGTATTAGCCCAGAATCTTCCAGAAAACCACAAATGGCTTTAATAACTCCTGGAAATACCTGGAGCTATCTGTATATCTAACAAATATTTTCATTACTTTATATTTGTCTAGATTTTTATTTCATCTATGGTTGGGCAATGGGTGAGTTCTATACTGAAAGTTCACATTCTTTTCCTGCCTAATAAATACATCATTAATTAACTGACTTTTAATGGCATAATGTGATTGGAAACTGGTTATATATATTTACATTTCCCTGAAATATTAAATATGATGAATTTGTAATTATTATAAATCATGTACCCAGGAATGCTGTTTAATATTTTAACAGAGGGCCTTTAACACAGAAACTATCTCTGTAATCTAAAAGCCTTCCTATAGAGATTATAGAAAATATTACAATTGAACATAAATGTCCTATAAGGCCCACATAAATTCATTTTATGACCATGAATATTATAGCTCTAAATTTATGGTTGCCTAAAATCAATGACAGAGGAATGGGAGGGGGAACAGAGAATTGAAGAGAACTTCCAATCACCCTTGACCATGTCTTTCTCTTACTGCACCCCTCTCCAACAATCCAATAATTTTCAAGGACTTTCCCTGCTACATGTCTCTTGAATCCCTTCACTTAGCCACCTTGTTCAGATCACTATCCTCTCTAGTCTCTATCACTCAATTAACTCTTAAATTGTCTTCCTACAGCTCCTTTCTGCCAAACCATCTTCCACAGCACAGCCAGAAGACTCTAAGTATATAAATTTGATCATGCTGTTCTCTGGCTTTAAAAATCCCCATTCCTAAAATAATACCCAAACACTTAACAAGGCCATTTCAGATCCCTGCCACTGTTATGGCCTCCCCACTCCTACTTGAACTCTGTGTTCAAGCCATAATGTACCCCTTTACTCTCTAATTAGCTAGAGAGGTCTTCTTCCAAATGAGCACCCTGTCTTTATCCCCTCACCCTTCCCCACCTCTGCTAAGTCTGGCCAACCCTTACATATCCTTTCAGGTATCAGCTGATTTCAAAGGTCACCTTCCTAGGCACTCGTTCAAAGCTGCAGAAGAGCCTCCTCTTTACACATAGACCATAGTCATACATAACAACTCATACTTATCCTCTCAAATCAAATATCACACTGTCTTAGATTATCTGATTTACTCATCTGGACCTCCCACTAGAGTGTAAGCTCAGTGGATCCACTGCTTGGCTATACAACCCTAGCAGAGTAGATGGCAAAAAGTAAGTGTTCAAATAAATACTTATTGAAAAACTGAATAATTGCACACATTCTAAGAACTGATCCTATGTATTCTTTCTTGGGTTTCTTCTTGAAGGGATCTTTACAAAGAAGATGTTAAGGCACAATCCCTGCCTCCTTGAATTATTAATTAAAATCACACCGGGGAGTAGAGACTTACCCACAAGAAACAATTATGGAGCAATATATCAAAATTTATTAATAAACTATTAAATGGAACATGATCAAGTGACAGAAACTCCAATTGAAAGAAGGAGCACTATGGGTAGACAAAAAATTAGCCCTATATGCCTACTCTGCCAGTTACAAAGACAAGAAGACACAATTTCCAAAACTATGGACATGAATGTTAATGGCATATGAATGGTAAATGAGAAGGACAGAAAAAAGTGTGTTAGCTGTCAACTCCAGCCTTACCACAGTCAGCGTCAGCAGCCTGGATTGTGGTCTGAGAAGAGGCCCTGAAGGGCTGGGTAGTGAGATTTCCCCATCCCATCTCTTTTCAAAGGCAGCAGAATCAGCAAAAGAGGGCATATTTGGAAATAAGAATACTGAAGCTATGGGAGCTAGATCAGACCTGACAGCCTCCCAAGGAGAAGGAGGTATGTTTTTATTTCCATGACATTAAACAAGGGAATTTAAGCTGCTGACGGGTATTCTCCCTGACTAGCTTTTTGGATGACTATTATACGCATATTAAGAAGAATCTGTGAACAGGGAGTTTCAAAGTGCTTTTCACACAAGTCACCAAGACCGAGGTCTGTTCACTAACTATATTACTGAATTATAAAAGAGGAGGCTTTGATATGAGATCATTTCAATATTGCCTTTTTAATTTATTAAATTAAGAAAACTGCAGAAAAATCCAAGGAAGAGAAGTAATTACATGTAATCATTTATGCTTTTAAAAAGCAAATTTTGTCAAGAACTGTTGTTCCTGATTTGAACAACTTACAACATTTCACTTCCCAAAAATGTTAGGAGGGTGATGCTTATTACAAGTACTGATGAGGAAGTTAATTAGAACTTCATGATTATGAATTCATAGATCACCATTTCCTTTACAATATTTCCATAACTATTGATTATTTAATCCTTTTTAACAGTGAAGTCTGAAATTTTAAGTTGAGCACTCATTTCTACTAGAAAAGGAAAGACTTACTGTAATTAGAACCTGAACTTACAAGCATAAATTGATTTTAAAATAACTGTATTCTGGCTTATATCCCCATTCAGAGATTCTCTGCTCCTTCCTTTCAATTTAGTTTAATCAACCTTTCTCTGGATCCATTTCCTTACTTCTCTTCCTCAGACCCAATGCAATCATTGTTAACTTTCTCCCTGTTCTGGTTATCACATTTTATCTGCAGTTCTTTAGCCTTTTGGCCATTCATCCGCTAGTCTTGCTCCTCTACCAGTGTGCTTGTCTGCAAATCAGTACTACTAAAAATATGCTATTCCAGTCAACTGGGTTCTTAATGCTGCATTTTGTTTTGCTTTGTTCTTATAATTACTCCTTTATATGCCTGGACACATTCTCTCCTATTTCTCATAGCCACGATTTTGAATTTGATCAGTTCCTTTAAATTCTCTAACCAGAAGGAGCTGGGCATAGTCCCTTTTTCTGGTAGCAACCTCCCTGGAGAGAATTTCCTCTCCCCTACAGCATGCAATTGTGCTGTTTCTCCGGTAGTCCCATGGCTGTCTTCTCTCTGTGCATCTATCTTCACATGATGTTCTCCTTGTTTGTCTCTCTCTCTTTTTCTTTAAATATGTATTTTTTAAGAAGAAGTCTCCTCTGTCTCCCAGGCTGGAATGCAGGGGCGCAATCACAACTCACTGCAGCCTTGACCTCCTAGGCTCAAGTGATCCTCCCACTTCAGCCTCCAGAGTAGCTGGGACCACAGGTGCATGCCACCATGCTGAGACAATTTTTGTATTTTTTTTTTTTTTTGTAGTGACAGGGTTTCACCATATTTCCCAGGCTGGTCTTGAACTTCTGGGCTCAAGCAATCCACTCACCTTGGCCTCCCAAAGTGCTGGGATTACAGGTGTGAGCCACCATGCCCAGCCTTCTCTTCTTCTTATAAGGACCTGAGTCTTATTCAGTTAAGAGCCCAAATTGATTATACCTTCAAAGAATATGATCTTTCCAAATAAGGTCATATTCACACGTAGCAGAGGCTAACGCTTCAACGGTTCTTTTTGAGACTCAATTCAATCCATAACAGCCATTTAGAATAAATCTGTTTAATGCTTAACATGTAGTACTTAATACTTAAGGTGGCACATAATGAAGTTAATGAAAAAGGTACAGATAAGTACTTATAATATCTGAGATAGAACTAATCTGTGCTACATATAGCCAAATAGGTTACTTATACATATATGCATATGTATATACAAATACGTACATATATATCCACATATATGTAGAGTATATTTTAAGGACTGCACAGACTAATACATGTGTTTCTTCAAACATTTGTCATACTTTTGATTGATTCATCTCTTACATTTTCTAAAACACAAATAGCATTAATGCTAATTAACAATTATTGATGCCAGTAAATGCATGGCATTATATTTGGAGTGCTATACAAGAAACTATTAGCATTTACAAGCTTTGACCCTTGAAAACACTTAAATTGCACATAAGAACAGTCTCTATACCAGATATGGAAACATCTATAATATTCAGAATTAAGATACAGATGAACAGCACTAGGGAGTAAAACTTATTGTGATTAAAATGTGAGTGGTTTGTAATATTATCCTTGGAAGATGCAATTTCTTCATATAACACATATGCTGTACAATTTTTCATAGCTTCTAATATGAAAATAAGTCTGAAGTGCAACTTATTCAGATTTTTCCAAAGACAGAAGACATCAAGCTTAATAAAAATCCAAACTTCCCACTAGTAAGTGAATTAAAATTACTTTGAGCTAAGAAAAAAATCTTAAGATTAAAGAAAAGCTTTAAGGAAGGGTATTAAAACAGAACTCTTGTTTTTATAGAGGGCTGCCTTCCATTTTCTTACCTACCCAAAGTGTGAACACAACTAATAGAATTAGCAGGCATGCATTATAGAAGTTAGGTGCTACAATTCTTCTATGGATATTCATAGTCATTTTCCACGTAGATTTATTCTGCTTCAATTCTCTATCTCATTCCAGTCAGTAAAATAGCCTCTGAGTATACAATATAAAATATTAATCAAGAACAAAAAGCAAACCAAACTTCCAAGTTACTTCTGGTGGAGTAATTCATTTCCTCTAACTGACCAGAATAAGAGTTCTCTGTGACTTTTAAGGAACACTCCAAATTACTCTGACCTAATTATTTCTCAATGGCTTTCAACCATGATCATCCACCAAATCTGTGAAATGTAGTGGGATGTAGTAAAAACACAATGGCCTCGTGCAATACGTCACTCCATGTATTTTCCTGTGCCTCTTTGAACAGAGTCTGGAAATTATGGTGACACCTCTAACATTCCGTCTTCAACTTTATGAAGGCAAAAGGCAATTTGACAAAGCTTTCTCAAGCTTCAATTAACCTATTCTATCAGCTTTATTTCTCTCCCTTGCCTAATAACTAAAAATGGAATGAGCTCCTCCAAGTACTTAGCACTTTGCTAAGCATTTTATATCATTATTGTTTTATTATTTTTAGCAACCCTATGAGACAAATAAAATCATTGTCCTCATCTTACAAATGAGGAAACCATGCCACAGAGAGTTTGTGTGACAACCAGTATCACACTGCTCCTGATGGATGAAGCAGGAGTGGAACCTGGTGGTGCAACTCCTGAACCATCCCAGTGCTGCTCAAGCACCTTCCAGACCACTTTGCTCTGCAGCACTGCAATACCTCTGGGGCCTGGTTCCAGATCTCTATAACCTTGTCTGCACTCTTTCCAAGATAAAACCTCTACTTCAATAACTAGACCAGGCTTCTCATTATCCCTCAGATACAGTGTGAATGTCATCCTCGAGCTTCTGCTTATACTGAGCCCAACTAACTGGAATGCTCTCCCTCCTCCTCTGCCTCTTCTTCACCATTCAGTTGCAATTCTCCATCCTCCTAAACTATTCATTCTTTCAGCCTTTCTACCTCATAGGAATTGCTCTTCCTATGAAAATAGAAGAACTGCTGGAGACCCATGGACCTATTCTACCTAAGTTGGTTTTGTGTCAGTACTGACATTTCACATTTATGCACATCAGGTCTGATAGTAAATGACCTGAAGAGAGGGACAAGTATGGCCCCTGCAAAGGCCTGGGAACCCGGCAGGAGCTCCACAAATGCTGGCTGAATTTACAATAGCCTCTATAGCAATACAGTAAGATTAATACAGCATACTGTCAAGGAGTAACACTCTAAGAAATTATTTCAAAACTTTCAGATATTAAAGGCATCACCTAACTTTCCAGAACATTCTTAACAACCAATTTCCTGGCCGGGCGCGGTGGCTCACGCCTGTAATCCCAGCACTTTGGGAGGCCGAGGCGGGTGGATCACGAGGTCAAAAGATCGAGACCATCCTGGTCAACACGGTGAAACCCCGTCTCTACTAAAAATACAAAAATTCAGCTGGGCATGGTGGCGTGTGCCTGTAATCCCAGCTACTCAGGAGGCTGAGGCAGGTGAATTGCCTGAACCCAGGAGGCGGAGGTTGTGGTGAGCCGAGATCGCGCCATTGCACTCCAGCCTAGGCAACAAGAGCGAAACTCCGTCTCAAAAAAAAAAAAAAAAAAAAAAAAAACCAACCAATTTCCTCAGCTAATCACATCAACTAAGTATGCATTTCTGCATCTGGATATAGCCAAGTCTCTATATGTATACATATATGCATAAAGAGCCAGGGACTGACATTCAAGCAATGTTCAAACACAGTATTGGAAATCTAATGAGGAATTTAAGCTTGTTGTAATCAAAATAATGCTTGCAAAAAGCTGATATGATGGGAAATGGAAGTAAAATGCATTCCATTACCATTCATTTTTGCTTTGGACCATTTATTTTAGCAAATATCTCCTGGTAAACACTGCTTTAGGCACTGTAAAGGATGCTACCATAGTCTTTTTGGGTTTTTGTATGAAGTAGCTGACGTGTCTGAGAATTTTTCATGTCAGAAAAAAATTAGATACTCTTCTACATTTAAATGAGAGAATAGGTGAAACTTGATCTCCTATTTACTACTGTCTCCAGAATACATACATATTTTTGAGATGTTACAGAGATTTGGGTTATAACTGGAAACATTTCTGATTTTCAGTGATTATTTTTAAACGTAGCTCACAGGAGAGAGAAAGGGAGAGACCAAACAGCAGAAAGCAGGTGTGGTCTAATTGGTACCAGGTGTCTAGCACAAGAGGCACTGAAACAGCCTTTCTGCTTTCCACCAGGTGTTGGCACCCAGCCATGACAAAGCCCCTGAATACTGTGCTAGTGGCCTCCACAGACCACAAGATCTGCTAGCCCTGTGCTTCTATAGCAACCACTGAACCTCTGTGGGCCAATGATATCTTACCAGGCTAAGCCTGGTACATACATCTGACATTAGAGACCTTCAGGTGGCATCCTCTAACAAAGATGACTTAAAAGGTACCTACTTGTGTATCTTACTAGGTTTGCAGGTTAGCCTTTACAGCTAGTGCTCGACTTACGACCACGATTGGGACCGGCAGACCAGTCATAACACGATTAGGTCGTAAGTTGAGTAGGCTATATGTACAGTTGAAATGGTGCACGCGGAGATGGTAGTATGGTAGTGCTGCCAGAAGCTGGTCCGCACTGTCATACGCCCAGCTGGGCAACGTTTGCGCTGCCAGACGCGGAGCAGTCGTGGCTAGCGATTGTGGTCGTAAAGTCAAATGGTCGTAAGTTGCATAGGTCGTAAGTTGATCAATACCTGTAGAAGTAATGTTTTCACAGTGTGGCTACATTAAACACCCTTCTGTAACATATACATAATTGAGAGATGGAGAATAAAATTCATACTAACTCCACATTATTCAATGAACACAAGTGTGTGCTGTGACCAGAAGAAGCAGCACAAGAGTTGTAGCACTTTCTGGCTGATAAAGGATCTCAAGCAGCAGGTGAACTGTTTGCAATAAAGGGAAAGGCATCCAACATCTCTCAGCAGACAGGTGGGGGCCCAGCCCCAGGAAGAAGGAAGTTTTAAGGGAGAGCAGTGGTGCATATGAAGTTGTGAATCATTTATATGTCAGAAATTGCCCAAGCTTTACAGACATCTAATGCTATGATCTGCTAGCTATCTAAATGCCATAAGTGACAAAGACATAAATGGTAGAGATTAAAAGGAATAAACAACAAACAAAAACACCCATTTGGAAATCTCAATTGTTAATTGAGTTGACATGTGCATATTGGTTCCACATTCATTCATTCCCCAATGCTCACTGACAGCTAGTAAACTAAGAGACTCTACTCCTATCAGCCGATATCCTCTGATTTCTTTTTCTTTTTAATCTTTTTTTTTTTTTTTTTGTAAAGACGAAGCCTCACTATGCTATCCAGGCTGGTCTCAAATGATCCTCCTGTCTTAGCACCCCCCAAAAATACTGGGATTACAGGTGTAATCTACAGGTGTGTGCTGCTGTGCCCAGCCCTGTCTGACTTCTGACAGACATCCAAAGAGGAAGTCCTCACTTGTAAAGTTCTCTTCTTCTATAAGGAAGATCCTATCAATTAACATAACTAATAGACTAAGGGAAAATATTAGTCAGATGACAGATGAGTAAATGAAATTAGGTCAGAAAAAAA